TGTCCCCAAGATGTGAGTAAACAAATCAATTTCTCTCCCCCCCCCCCTTTTACCAACAACCCTAATGCAGGACCGCTTCTCAGGAGAAGTGAGAGCCATCCTTTGGGGCTTCAGACAGGCAAACTATTGAATAGAGTTGAATATCAGGGGAAACTTCCTAACTGTTAAAGCAGTATGACAGTGGAATCCGTGCCCCTGGGAGGTGGGGATGGCTCCAATGCTGGAGGCCTTCAAGAGAAACTTGGGCAACCATCTGTCAGGTCTGCTTTGATTTGAATTCCCGCCTTGAGTAGGGGGTTGGACTCGATGACCCTACAGGCCCCTTCCAACTCCGTTATTCTATGATTCTATGACTATTGTTTTATCACACGTTGGGCTTTTCAAATTGCTTTGAGTCTCTTTCAGATGAGAACAGCCAAAATCCTATTACGTACTGATCTGAGCTTGTGCAAGGAAAGTCGTTTAAGTCTTTGTGGCAATATTGCTGCTCATTAACAAGGTTCTGATTGCATTTCTGGGTGTGTGCCTGACTATATGCAAGGCTAAACGAGCAACTGGATTATTCTGGCGGCTTCGATTGTAGCTTCTTTTTATGTTACGTTTCTGTACATCATATCGGTTACCCTTCTTTTTCAAAGACAACAAATTTATAATCAGGTTACCTAAACAAATGCACATGCACTTGCGTGAACCATTTCGAAGCATGGCTTATTTGGAAGTAACTGCCACGTAAAATCACTCTGAGTGAGCCCCCTTCTTCTGGAAGGAGGCTGATGGTGTGGCAGTACTGGCACACTTTGTGTGTTCCACCCCACCTTTGCTTCTGTTTCCCCTATCATGTCTCTGAGCCGTGATGTTCTTGAGGCCCCTTCTCTGCTCACCAAGGATCTGTTCCTATGGATACCAGCCTTTTGTGTTGTGACAAAGGTTGGCATTCTGATTCTCATGAGCCCTTTGACTCTCTCCCCTTTTCACACTCCTCGCCAAGCTTGGCTTGTTGCTGTGCTTGAAAGCCCATGGGTGCAGGGTTCCCATGGCAATGGGGGTGGGACTCTGTAAAGGGGCGGCTGGCTGTGAGCAGAACACACCAAGCCTTGTTAATTTGCATGTGAATGAAGGAGGAAAGGGTCTTCTTACCCTCCTCCATGTGTGCTTTAAGGGCAGATAGAATTTGCCAGTGGAAAGCAATCTTTTCATTTATATTTGCTGCTGCTTGATTTTCATTGACCAAAAATGTGCTTGTCAAAGGTAGCAACCAGAAAGCAGCAGGTTAAGGTTACAAATTCAATGGAAGCGTTTTGATGTGTCCATGCACCTTACTTTTCACAACCAGAATACTGCTCCTTAGTTTTAACATTCTATTTAAAGAGCGCCCAGGTTCATATTAACCCTTATACTGTACTGCATTTCTGCTATACTTTAAAAGAAGTATCAAACCCAAAAAGCTTTCACCTGAAATTTAAGAATCCATAGATGAGATGTGGTGTGTGTGTGTGTGTGTGTGTGTGTGCGTGGTCTGAAGATTCTTGAGGAACTTTTGTATAAATGTTGAAGCATTCTCTACAATTGTGAGAGAGAGAGAGAGAGAGAGAGAGAGAGAGAGAAGGGAGGCATAAGGGGATGGAAGCACAAATCCTGTTTAATATCCTCTCTCATTCCCTCCTGTCTTATCTAGTAGTTTTCCTCATCTAGACATGAGCAGTTCAGGAAATTCCTGTTAAGTGAATCTAATTTTGATCATACATTTTAAGCCTCAGAGAAACAGGAATTATTCATGGCAAAAATGTGGGTCTGGAGATTCTTGAGGAACTTTTGTATAAATGTTGAAGCATTCTCTACAACGGGCAGGGGAAAGGAGGCTGGAGGTAATTGGTGGCCATGATTGTTCCTTTCTAAAATACTGTTTAACATCAAGTGCACTATTAAAGGCCTTATGGGAAATCGAGCAAATGCAAAGTCCAGCCGTCCAAGCAGAATTATTCTATTTTACTCCCCCCCCCTTTTACTAATATAATTCATTGCTTTGGGAACACAGGGCAAGAATCCTATTCTAAAATACAGGTACCATGTTGATTAAAAGAATGAAATATGATGTAAACTCCACCCTGTTGCTAATTATGGTGGAGAAAATTAAAAAGTAAGGCTATTTTGCTGTAAATGTACGTTTTTCCTGAATGATGGTTTGGGGATTTTTTGTGACTGTGTTAGTCATTGCATGAAATCTGTGAGTGGTGGGAGTTAAAGATCTCTCCATACTTTGCCTGCTTGCATACAGCACCTTAAAGTACATGTCACTTTACACAAATCGGTTTACAATACTAATTTGACAGCATCCCTTTTCCTTCCCCATCCACTTTATTGCATGAAAGAGGAAACCTCTGGAGGAGTTTGAAAGCAAAGCCTGCATTAGCCACAGTTTTACTTTTGTAATAGTTTACAAAGGTTTAACATGAATGTGCTACACTTGGCATCCGGCTTACAGCAGGACATTCACTTGAGTGGTGGGAGTTAAAGATCTCTCCATACTTTGCCTGCTTGCATACAGCACCTTAAAGTACATGTCACTTTACACAAATCAGTTTACAATACTAATAACAGATAGAGATATTTGACAACATCCCTCTTCCTTCCCTATCCACATTACAGTATTGCATGAAAGAGGAAACCTCTGGAGGAGTTTGAAAGCAAAGCCTGCATTAGCCACAGTTTTACTTTTGTAATAGTTTACAAAGGTTTAACATGAATGTGCTACACTTGGCATCCGGCTTACAGCAGGACATTCACTTGGTTGATTGTGTGCACAATGTAATCTACAACTAAGATGGGTCAGCACAGTGTGGAAAGGCTTCAGCTCTTTCCTTGTTTGTGGGAGGCAGTCCAGTGCCTGCCTGCCTGCCTGCCTGCCTGCCTGCCTGCCTGCCTTCCTGCCTCCCTCACCCTTTCTGCTAAAACAGACAATGCAAACTGTCTCACTGCCCAGATTTGGATTTTGCACTCAACAGTCCCCAGATGATGCTGAACTTCACCTCCGATAATCTCCACCCAGTACAGCCAAGAGTTGAGGATTTTAGAACACTGCCCTGGAGCTTGCATGATGCAACTCCTTGTTCACTGTGTTGCAGAGGCAGATTCTGGGAGAGAGCTTGGGAAAGTGGCATTTATGGCCCTCAGAACACCCTAGCCAGTTTTATCAGAAGTTATGAAGGACTATCCCTTGCAAAAGGCAACAGAAAGATGGGATCTATTTAACAAGTGGACAGAATCAACAGGCAGCTTGTGAACAGTACATATTGAAAGGAGAACTGAATCTAGAAGGCAGAAAAGAGTAAATAGAATAATTTAAAATCTTGATATGGCAATAGGTACAGAATGGATGAAAGTATGTTATTGTCTCCCCTCTTCCTCATCAATCCCAATTCCCTTTTCCTTTTTGTTATCCCTTATAAAAAATAAAAAATACAAAAAAAAATGGCATTTATGGCCCTCAGAACACCCTAGCCGGCATGGGGCAATTACTTTCTTTCTTGCAAGCCCCAGAACCGGAGTGGAATGAGCTAACCAGGAGCACTGCCTTGTCACGGAGAAACCTAGAGAAATTATGGTGCACTTTACTGTATCTCTCTCCTTAGAGAAGCAGAATGATAAAATGGCTTTCTGCATGTAGCTGGGGGCCCGCTGAAAATTTGCACTGCTAGTTTCCGTCCTCTGGGAGCATTGGGAATGCCGGCAATTGCTGACAGCTTGTCTCTCACTACTTGTTTTTTTTTTGTGTCTAGACAGTGTCGTATTATTGGGTGTGGGCATCAGGGTTACTTGTATCCCACCCTCCCTCCAAGGAGTTCAGGGTGGCATACACTGACTTATCTCATTACCTTCTCTCAACAACTCTATGAAATTGGATGGGCTGAGAAGACTGCAGTGAATTTCTTGGCTGTGTGGGGATTTGAACTGGTCCTAGTCTGGACTGGGTTTGAACTGGTTCCCTAGTCTTAATCCACTGTTGTCAACTGTATTTTGCTTGCTGGTTCTGTGTATTATATACTGTTTTGTGCAAAATGTAATGCATTGGATATACTGCTACAAGTATGTACATGGTCTTGGCCTCTTCTTAATTTTTTTTCCTCATGTTATCTGATTTCCTCAAGATTTTTTTTTAAAAATTCTGTTTATTCAGATATTGAATACTTGGCTGCGTAATGTCTAATTTAGCCTAAAGGTACATTCTAATTTACTGTCTACATTGCATCACCAGGGACCAGGGTATTAAGTCCCTATATCAAAAATGTTTTCTCTCTCTAGGGAGCTAAAATTTTAGCTGTCCAAACATGCATATCTGAATTAATTATGACCAAACTGGAAGTATCAAATTGATGAGTACGTGCTTTCCCGTAGCACTATAAAGACACTGTTTAGGTACTTGGGGAGGAAGTCCTCAGCCTGAAAACTACTATCAAAGGGAGATTTGATTGGAATAGCAATGTAGCATTTCCTTGGCTTTGAAGACACAGCCTGTGAATTGAGGTATCTGACTCTAGCTCAGATCTACATACCCTAAATTTCCACAGATCCTGATGTAGGACACCAGCTGTGTATGGTGGCCATCTGGATCTTGATAAAATGCCAGACTGGGCTGCAAACCCTGGACTGTGAATCAGAAAAGGAGATGCTATGTATTTGGCTGGTGGGATGCATTCAGCTTGATGGGTCACAAGTTATGTTAGATTTGAAATATGCAGCACCAGCATAGTGACTTCAGATTTACAAGCTCACGAATCTAAGTGAAAGCGATATATGTTGATATTAGACAAATATTTATACTGGCATTCTGTGAGGTCTGTTGCCTGAATTCTTTGTACTCTCTGATCTACCTTCCCCTCGGAGCTGGGCAAAGATTCGGAGATCTTAGATTATGGGAACCACCCAGATAGTTTCAGAATGTGGAATTTGGCTCACTGCTTAAATAGTGTCCTGGAGCTATTTAATTTTCTTTTCTTTTATAGCCATTCCACCCAATGGTAAACCTTGAGTGTTCCCGGGACTTCCGACCTTTCCTGTGTGCTCTCTATGCTCCTGTTTGCATGGAGTACGGTCGAGTCAGCCTCCCATGTCGCAGGATTTGTCAGCGAGCATACAATGAGTGTTCAAAACTCATGGAGATGTTTGGTGTGTCTTGGCCAGAGGATATGGAATGCAGCAGGTGAGTAAACGTTGGGTGTACATGTATACATCACCATAGATATCTAAAATGCCCTTCTTTTTCAAAAATAGTCTAGTTTCTCTCTCTCTCTCTCTCTCTCTTATCCTGCCACTTGCTCAGCACAATCAATGCTAACATTATTATGGCAGCTCTTTGACAATGATGGGAAACACAAGACCAGTTCCAGGCTTTTGCAAATGTAAAGAATGCTGTGAACCCAAGAAATACCCTTTATTTAAATTGTTTATTTTATTTAAAATGTATTCCTTCTTAAAAAGGGCCCAAGGTGGCTTACATGATTAAAAACACTTTATTAAGAGCTGAAAACAGTACATTATTCAAATATTTTGAAAGAATTAAATAAACATATTAAAAATGCCAAGTAACAGCATTATGAAAACTAATTAAAAAGCAACAATACAAACCATCCCATTTTGAAACCTCTCTAAGACAGCCAGTCACTAGGAAAAGCTTTCCTGAAGCTCTTGCCACCTGCTGGTCTTATGACTCTTGTTTTGCTTGGGTTGGTTCCTGTGAAGTGGAGACCATCATGTTGAAGAGGCATGTCAAAATCAGAAATTCCTCTTTCAAGACGAGACAAACCCGGACACAAGTTCCTTTCTAATATTCTTCCTCCCAACACACACATGCTTTTTTGTCTAAAAAAGGCAAGTTTGGTTACACAGCCAGTGGCAAGGCTGTCTTTGAACTAGCAGTGTAGTCAAGTAATCCCTTAATTCTTTTGTGTTTTCAATCAGAACAGAAAAATATGCCAAGACCTCAGATCCAGAAAGGACACAAATAAAAGAAATCCGGGCAGGTTGAGACAGATAGACTAGGAAAAGCCATTTTAAGCTTTTAATAATGATGGGCAGTCATTCAGCCAGAAGGGCAACTTAACTTTTCCTGCAGTTTCTTGATTATTTGCAGAATGTTGTTCCTTTCCTCTACCATTGTTGGGCTAAAATAGATGATAAAACAAAGAGTAACTTCATTGTTTCTGAAGAAAGCTGGCAATAATAATTCTACAGAACTCAGGTTCTACTCTGTTTGGTGCTGAACGGAAGTCATCCCTCTCAGTTGTCCTAACCACTGCTCTCATGTCCTGACAGGTATAAAAAGCCTTTCTGTCCACTGGTCCTGCATGCCACCATGTGGTTTCAGTGTCCATCTAGAGCTCTACATTCTGCATCTTTGGACTGGTCCTCAAGTTGTGGCAGTCCACTGAGCCAGAGTATTGGGCTGCCATGGACAGGGAAATCTGGTCACAAGGATCAGGTGAACAGGAGGCTTATAGTGAAGAGATGACAAAACGAGAATACTGGAAACTCATGTTCCAGAGGTGTAGTCTTGTTAGCTTGTTACAGCCCAGCCAGCAGAGATTCCCATGGTGCCATACTGTACAAGCTAGCAAACTTGTTATACCATAAGCTTTTTGTGGGCTACCATCCTCTTGAATCCCATGCCATGTGCTGTGGTTGACAAACCTTGTGCTGCAATAGATTTATTAATCTGTTAAAAGTGCCATAGGGCTTCGTGTTATTGATTATTGACTTGGAATAACTAGCCAGACCTGGGGCTGCAGGGCACTGGCCCAGATCAATGGCTTCTTGGTGGAGGTTGGAAACAACCAAGCTACAGAATGTACACAATTATCTGAAATTTAGATGTAGAGCTTGTCAGAGGGAACGAGTGGTTTCTGTCCTTCCTCAGTGGCCAGCATGTCATTATCCCCCTCAGGTCCATTTCTGTTTAGGTAATTGAGGCCGAGGTCAGCAGCACAATGCAGATAACCCACCAGCTCTCTTCAGCAGGTTCTCTGTTTTCTCTGTTGTAGGTTCCCAGACTGTGATGAGCCGTACCCTCGTCTTGTCGATCTCAGTGCCATTGGGGAGCCAACGGAAGACGTGCCAGTGGCGGTGCGAAGAGACTATGGCTTTTGGTGCCCGCAAGAGTTAAAAATAGACCCCGATCTTGGCTACACATTCCTGCGGGTACGGGACTGCTCCCCTCCTTGTCCAAATATGTATTTCAGACGTGAAGAGCTCTCTTTTGCACGATACTTCATCGGCGTGATCTCTATCGTCTGCCTTTCAGCCACTTTGTTTACCTTCTTGACTTTCTTGATCGATGTCACGCGGTTCCGCTATCCCGAGAGACCCATCATTTTCTACGCTGTCTGTTACATGATGGTGTCCCTCATTTTCTTCATTGGCTTTTTGCTAGAGGACCGTGTTGCCTGCAACGCCTCTAGCCCCACCATGTTCAAGGCCTCCACGGTGACCCAGGGCTCTCATAACAAAGCGTGCACCATGCTTTTCATGGTGCTGTACTTCTTTACCATGGCTGGGAGCGTCTGGTGGGTGATTCTGACCATCACCTGGTTCTTGGCAGCTGTCCCCAAATGGGGGAGTGAAGCCATTGAGAAGAAAGCCTTGCTTTTTCACGCTAGTGCTTGGGGCATCCCTGGAACCCTGACCATCATCCTCCTGGCTATGAATAAAATTGAGGGTGACAACATCAGCGGGGTGTGTTTTGTTGGCCTCTATGATGTGGATGCTTTGAGATACTTTGTCCTTGCTCCTCTCTGCCTCTATGTGGTGGTTGGAGTTTCTCTGCTGCTTGCGGGCATCATCTCCTTAAATCGGGTTCGTATCGAAATTCCCTTAGAGAAGGAGAACCAGGACAAACTGGTGAAATTCATGATTCGGATTGGCGTCTTCAGCGTTCTCTATCTCGTTCCTCTCTTAGTTGTGATTGGCTGCTATTTCTATGAGCAGGCTCACCGAGGTGTGTGGGAGACAACGTGGATACAAGAACGGTGCAAAGAATATCACATACCCTGCCCTTACCAGGTGAGTCAGCATGTCTCCTCCTTTACAGTACCCTCCATGTGTTTCACCGCTGAGAAAACACACCGATTAAGCTCAGTACTTCGGCATCGCTTGGCTGCCTTTGTTTTGCAGAAGCACAGACATAACCGCGTCAACAACTTGAAGAAAAGGACGCCTGTTGAAAAAAAAAGTGAAACATGATACAGAGAGTATAAGCTCTTGATGGTGTAGCTTTCAAAGAAAGTGCAACCGGTCTGTACTTTTAACCTTCAGGACTAGCGTGTGGGCACTGAAGCTCGCAGGACCATGATTCTTGGAGATAGGCCTGACCCATTGGTTCAGGAGTTTGTCCTTTGGACAAACAGATGTTCCAGCACCCACTCAGAGGCAGCGCCCCAGTTTCCCTGCTCCGCCTCCTCCAGGCACTGCCTCTGAGTGGGTTGAACTGGCACAAACTGGCAGTTCGTGCCCATCTCTAATGGTTATAGAACAGGATGTTCAAAAATAATAAAGACAGAGACAAGGAAGCAGATGTGGTTTTTTTCCCCTGGGGTTATGGAGCTGGAGCCACAAAATGCCTGCCCAACTCAAGAGAAGAAGATACCGTATTTTTCTATGTATAAGACTATACTTTCATCTAAAATCTTTAGACTAAAAATTGAGGGTCGTCTTATACATGGAAGTGCGGAGAGAACAAAAATAAGTGGAGGGGAAAGCAGGAATCAAAGTGATCCTGCAGGGCTTTGATCCCTTTCTCCCTACACTTGCTAAGCTCCACTTAGATTTCTTAATTTGGGGTTAGAAAAGTGGAGGGGGGCATCTTATACACGGAAAAACACAGTACTATTTAATGTGGGTTATTTCTTGCCTAGGATACGGATATGGAAGCGAAAACCTTTTGTTTGTTTCTTACATTATCAGTTAGGAAGAAATGGAAGGTGGGTAAATAGCAGAACAGGCTCCTTAATAATTCACTGGCTAAAAATATTGTCTGCCTGGCAGGGAAGATGCTGACCAGCAGGTAGGAGGGAGAATAAAATGGAGTGACTGGAAAGGGAGGAGAGACACGTTTTGTTAACGATAGAAATAACAATATCAACGGTCCAGGTGGATTACTGAGAAGCTATTTTGAAAAGTTTCTATGTAGGGTTGGAAATGAAAGCCGCCCGTAGACGTTTGTGCAGAAATGTTAACATTGGTGGCCCTGACCACTAGTGTGTCCGCCACATCCTGTCTTCAAAACATAAAGGGAAGCCCACAGAAGCCACATGAAGGTGGAATGTGGGCAATTCAGAGCAACTCTTGAGGAGGGAAAACAGAAGATATGTGGTGATGGACAGTTGGGAAGCCTGAATGGGCTGTAATAGAATCCCCTATCCCTTTTAGTTCTAATTTGCTTGAATGGAAACAGGTTCAAGGAGGGCAGCCAGGAGGAGCTGATTTCTCAGCTGAGATAGCTGAGCGGGCTGTGCTGTCCTACACATCCCTCTGTTGTTTCCTGGGTGGGCCCTGTGGACCACCTTGACACTCTTGAGTACATGGACCTCCTTTGCTTTTGAAAGCTAAGCAGAATTTGCCTTAGTTCTCAGGCTGTGGCAGCAAAAGGTTAAGAGAAGATCTTGCCAGAAACCTTGGAGCGTTGCTGCATTTCACAGTGGACGTTTCAGGCCCAGGCAGACTCATGGCCCCTGACTTGTGGGCATCTTCCTGAGTTCCTGTGGAGTTGCTGCTAGTAGATGGCAGCTAATGGTATAGGAAAGCGTCCTCTACGCTTCTGACACTCCCTAACACCCTTGCCTGTATCCTTTTGAAGAAGAAGAAAAGGTGGCGTATGTGAGCCGATGTGTTAAATGTCTAGAGAGAACTGCTGTTACTTCCTGGTTCCTGATGACCTGTGGTCTCCAGCTCATAAATAAGAGGGATGATGGCGTTTCTGCTTAGCAAAAGGCAAAACTGCTCAACTAACGAGATTTCCCTGGCTTCCTTCTCCTGTTATGCCCTTTAAAAATGGCTTTAATAAAACCACAGCACATGTCTGTACCAGGAGACAATTTGATTCCCAGGGATGACTGGAAGCAGGCCCTTCATGTTTGCTTCTGTGGGTTTAGACATCAGATGTAATCGCACATGTGAATCCACTCTGATAAACTCTTCCCCCCCCTTTCCAAAATCCATGTTCTGGCGACACCTTTATTCAACCAACCAAAAGTCATAAAATTCTCAGCAAGCTATGTGTTCAGAAGCTCATCATTAGGCATGATGATGTTAAAAAGGGGGGGGGGGTTGCACTCAGTGTTAGAGCAGAATGGTCTGCCCTATGTCAAAGGATGTAAAGAGGAGGAAGCTGCAGAGGGCAAGTGTTTCAGGTGCCAAGTTTCAATCTGAAGGTCCCTGACTTTTGTTGGGAAGAAGAAAGGGGACATAAAAAGCAATAAATGTTGGATCTCCGTTTTGAAAAACACCAGAACTGCCTTGGATCTTCACTCCACTATGACCGTCAATAGTAAACCGTCTTTTTGAAAAAGAGAGAAGGAGAGAATTGACCTGCCAAATATTCCCAGCTAGTTTTTGCATGTCTAACTGGCATAATGCCATGGGTCTCAGAGGTACAACCCGACTCTTTCATATACACTCATTTTTGTCTCTTTGCAGTTTCACCGGTTCCTGGTTTAATCTTTTTCCTCCTTGCTTTTATATCTTGGTTTGCTCCAGCTTAATAAGATCAAATCTTCTCAGTTATGTGAGATGTACTGAGATAAGGAAATATCAGATTTCTTTCAATAACGTTAAATGGCGGGTGTGGTGAACACGTATTGCTACGTAACAAAGCACAGAATGGCTGCTTACTAACACTCCAGTTATGAGTTTCACCAGCAGGCCTGTTTTGAAAAGAACAGATTAATTATGGTTATCTGCTTACTGAAAGCTTAATGAGGAGAACACAGGACACACCATGATCATGGATAGCCAGAAGGGTGTGTGAAGGAGAAAAATGTGAAAATGTGTGTGCTATCATGTTTTGATGTTAGAGTGGAAATCTTGCTGTTTTTCCAGTGGTGCCCCTTTGGAGCTTCTGCTGAGAACTCCATGTTCTTACCAAATGTGTTAATGTACCTGGAAAACTGGGGTCCGTTTGGGGCTTTTGAATGTCGTTGTTTAGATGCCTCAGAGAGCATCCGCATGCCACACAGTTGTTCTTAGGAAAGACCAGTGCATTGTTGTGTTGTGCAATAGTAGCAAACTGTCTTCATCCATGCTGTAGCTGTTGCAGCAGGTCTGGGTCACCCATGACCCCAGAGGGTCCAAATCTGGGCCCTGGCGGCATCCTAGCGGCTTCTTCTATTCCCGTCCCCTTCATAATTTTTTCCCCAGGAAAACAAAAGCCTCAGCAATTCCCCTTGTGGCCTCTCAGGAGCATGGAGCAATCCCAGAGCCTTAAGAGTCGCTCCCATCCCAGCACAAAAATGTTCTTTGAAAATTAAAACTTTTATTTTTGGCCACTCGAGGACCCAAGGGGCTTTCTCAGTTTGAAAGCCCATTTTTTGTTTTATTTTAACAAATGGCACGGGAGTCAAGGGGAGGAGGTTGGGCTCTCCAAGGTCCAGGGGTGTGAAACCCCCCAACACCTGTCAAAAGTTGTCCACCACTGTGCTTGAGCATCCTGGATTTGGAACACCTAAATCCAGATCTTCGTTCCGTTATCAAACTCACAAGGGTTTCCTGGGTGTGCTTCACAGGACGATTGGGCAAGGGGGAAACACCACTTGGAGGGCCATAATCCTCCGTGATCCTCTTGCCGAAACTGAAGATACAGATACAAATGCAATAAAATACGTAACATTCTGGTGATGGTTGCATTGGCTTTTTATATATGTGACTGTGAGTTGCGGCCCAGAAGGTAGCCCCAGCAGGAAAAGGAACGTGACAGCTGTGTTCAGGTGGTCCATTGTCCACCCCTGGCCCTTGACTGTTTGCAGATTGTTTAGAGTTTTTCCAGCCCTGGCAAGGTACCCTTTGTTTCTGCTTCTCACCTGATGCTGAGCAAGAGGTGCATCATGGGAAGGTGCATCGGCAGAGTAGCTCCGTTCTCATTCTCTTTGGAAATATTTATTCATGCATTTAAAGTATTTTTACCCCGCTTTCCTCCTTAAAAGTGCCCTTTTTATTCTCAGAACGCGGTCCTAGCAAAACAGCTGGGCTCCTCCCCAGGTTAGCCGCAGGCCTCCTTCAAAGCTGTGGCTGAAAGTAATTTGTTGACAGAGGAAAAGCCAGAGTGTGCGGGTTGTTGATTGCAGCTGGAGGTGCACGGCTTTCAGTTGCGGGTGCATTGTGACCTCCCTGAACGTGTCTCCATGGCCCTCGCTCCAGATCAGAGATGGGCACCAGGCACACAGAGAGCCTGAAGATTTAACATTTTCTTTTGACTGAAGCACTCGTCCTCCTTCAGCTTTGCTGGCTGTGAGATTCTGAGACCAGTCCTTTTTTTTTAAAAGAAAAACCTTCCAGGCTCTGCTCAGGCATACTTCCTCTCGCCATATGGAGAAGTGGGAAGCGGGCGGAGATCCTTCGGGTTTTTTGTTTGTTTGTTTGTTTGTCCGGAGATCCCTCGGGTTTTTTGCTTGTTTGTTTGTTTTTTAACATTGCAGTCAGCCTTGGCAATGCAGGTAAGGGAGGATGGCTGGGAGGGTGTGTGTGAGATAAGCGTAGGATCTCCTGGCCTGAATGTTTTCTCTCTTCTTCCCTGGAAAGAGAGACTCCAGAAAGGCAAGGGCCACTTGCTGCTGCCTTCCCGTTGGAGGCCATCCCAGGAGGAAAAATGTGGGAACAGATCCACATGGTTCTTCTTTTAAGAAATCCGCCTGGAACAGAAACTTTGCTCGCCATTTGGTCTCAGCCATTCTGCCGTTAGGAAAAGCAGCGGCAGTTCAGAATCGGGGCGGGTGGAGGGTTGGTCTGGAAACGCGGGTGGTGCAGCCTAGCCCTCCCCTGCCCTGTGAGCCGCGTCAGGGGAGGGGGGGACGGGCAGACCCCAACAGCCTGTGAATTTTTACAAGGCTTTTTATCCCTCCATATCAAGTGGGGTCAACCGTCACTTCATTGTCTCGCCCCTGCTCGGCATCTCTCGCCTGTCATTATCGCCACTTTCTGCTTCAGGGCGACAAGTGATGCTGACGATGGCTGACAAGCGTTATAAAAGGCTGTACATCCTTCAGGTGCTCGGAAAGCTTCCTAGGTGGCATTGTGTAGGGCGTCCAGACCCTTTGGCGTTCAAGCGCGGGTCGAAGGAAAAGCAAGCAGGGCTGGTGCTCGTGAACCTTTAAAAACATGCTGCTGCTTATATACTTCCCTATAGTGCTTACAGCACTCTCTGGGTGGTTTGTAATTTAATAATGCAGGCTACATCTTATAAGATGTAAAATGCCCGTTTCCAGGCACAATTCAAGAGTGTTGGTTCTAACCCTATAAAGCCCTAAATGTCTTGTGCCAAATCTATCTAAAAGCCTGCATTTCTGTTTATGAGCCTGCTCGGGCATTAAGATCATCAAGAGCAGCCTTAATCTTTCAGTCCCACCACCTTCACATGTACGCCTGGTGGGGACCCGGGAGAGGACCTTCTCTGTGGCTGCTCCTTTAAACTCTGGAACTCCCTCCCACTGGAGGCCAGCCTGGCCCCATCTTGGCTGTCCTTCCACATGCAGGCAAAGACCATGCCCTTCAGACAAGATTACCCTTAGTGATCGGCTGGCCAAGTGGGTTTTTTTTTTTAAATGGATGGTTGCTTAGTGATTGGCTGGCCAAGTGGTTTTTTTTTTTTTAAATGGATGGTTGCTCCTTACGGTTTTGAATTTGTTTTTGGAGTTGTTTTGCTTACCGTTTGTTAGCGTGGTATTTGTTTGATCCTTTCTAGTATTTCCAGTTGTTTGCTTTAAATACATTAGTGACGTAAGCCGCTATAGGTCCTTTTTAAGGAGAAAGGTGGAGTAAAAATATTTCAAGTAAAGAAATAGAAGAAATGAGAGTAGGGTGATAGCTTTTATTGGATCACTAAGGCAGCATATATGCAGAGTTTTCTATGCAATTACAGAAATGGCTCTTGTGTTGCTGATGAGTGCAGATGGTCACCTTCCTACTGTTCTCGTGGTTTGTTCATAGATGACATGAGTTGAGGCAGAGAATGTGACCTTGGCCTATGCAGCTGACTTTTTGGAAGGGAGGAAGGAAGCAAGCAAGCAAGCAAGCCTTCCCTCTGAGGAGCGGTCCCCAAATGTTTTGGGACCGTGGACCAGCTGAGCCTCTGAGGAAAGTGGGGCACACACCCCTGCGCTCGTGTGCGCTCTCTCAGGTATATGCATGAAGTGATGGGCGCGTGCGTGCCAGCCCCACCGTAAGCACTTCCCCACCCCTTTGCACATGCTGAGGAGCACCCGCACGCCTGCACGTGCGCCTGCCCACCCCTTCACATGCGTGAAGGGGTGGGGGAGTGATCACGCCGGTGCTGGCACATTGTGTGTGTGTTTGTGTGTGCAAAGCAGCTGTGGGAAGGGGAGCGCGTGCGGGGGTGACGAGAGGTCTGCCTCTGCGGCCTGGTCCGGCTCAGGCCAGGGACCAGGACCCGGGGGGTGGGGGGGGAGGTTGACGACCTTTGCGATAAGCCTTCATGGATTGCTGGATAGCTCAATGGTTTAGGCATTTGGCTGCAGAGCCAAAGGTTGGGAATTTGATTCCTTGACAGGGGCTGGACTCGATGATCCTTGGGGGTCCCTTCCAGCTGTGCAGTTCTAAGATTATTCTTATCCCCTCCTCTGTAAAGAAACAACCAACAGACTGGATCAGGCCACAGAACTCCTGCACGGGCATCCCTTTTTTCCTCACCTCGCTCCTAACCCCTCTTCGTGCCAGCCCTTCTCCAGCACCAGCACTCCCAAAGCATCCCTTCCCTCCAGCTTGCACAGCAACTCGGCTTAAAAAGAGCCTTCTCCCCCGGCACCAGGGAGGCCCCCTTTTTTTCAGCCCTAATTGCTTAGCCAAGAGTTGCTGATTGAGACGGGTCAGACTCTGTGGCGAGGGTTAAGCCTTCCTAGCTGCAAGCTGCCCCCACCCTCCGTGTTTCAATTAGGCTTGAAAAGAGACTCCTATTGTTACCCACAGAAGTCCTTTCTTTTTTTCTTTCTTTCTTGTAAGCTTCCTGGCTCCATGGGGAGCAGCGCATAAGGGGAAGGGCGCAGGTGGGTTGGGGAGAGCCGCAGAAGCTGCATCGGAACAGCTTCCACCACGCAGCTGTGTGTTTGTGATCTCAGCAAACTTGGTAGCAAGAGGGCCGTTGAGTGGCATAACTTGCGACTATGACCTTGAAGCCATTGCCTCTCTGTTCTTATGGTTGGATCCTGGAAAAGATTAGTCCGAAAAAGCACATTTTCCAGCCCCTGTTTCTGTTAGCGTGTTGGAACCATTTGAGGACACCGAGAAACTCTGCTTTCAGCCGAACTTTTCCTTTGTGACATGACTTAAATGGCCTGGGTTTAAAACCACCCCCTCTGGGCTCTGCCAGCCACGTTGCATCCTAAAGACAGGAGGCCGAGCCGCGCAACTGACCGTCGCCTTTTGCCTTCAGCGGTGCTTCAGGGTGAGTTTTCAGAGGGACGTACAGACACGTGGCAGGTGGTCTCACCTGTGCGCTTGCCTTCTCTCTTTTTTTTCAGGTCACGCAGATGAGTCGCCCAGACTTGATCCTGTTTTTGATGAAGTACCTCATGGGCCTTGTCGTGGGGATCCCGTCTGTCTTCTGGGTCGGCAGTAAGAAGACCTGCTTTGAGTGGGCGAGCTTCTTCCATGGGCGCAAGAAAAAAGAGTGAGTTCTGCCGCTGAGAACCGCAAGAAAAGCATTCCAGGCTGAGTCACGAATTCTTCTCAATTCAAGACAGCCGTAGGGAGCTTGGCTACTAAGGCTCCACCTAGTGATGCCCTACAGGTTTCCTCTTTTTCCAGGTGCTCCTGGCTTACGAGTCACATGCCCTTGCTTTCTTTTACCTGCGTCCCCCCCAGGGGAAGATGCACATCTTGCCCTTCAGAGATGTAGTCTCCACCTCTCAAGAATGCCTGGATGCGGCAGCCGGATCTTCTCCCTTCCCCTGTTAATTAGGGAAGATGCACATCTTGCCCTTCAGAAGAATGCCTGGATGCGGTAGCCGGATCTTCTCCCTTCCCCTGTTAATTGTTGGTTGGTTCATTAATTAATTAATTAATCTGAGCATTCAGCCTGGAGGCCAGCAGTGCATCATGGCCTCTCCCAATTTGAAGAGACCCTTGTCCAGCAGGCCGAGGCAAAGAGGCGGTCTTGAAAGCAACAAAACCAGGGAGCTGGACAGGGGACACATGGTATTTGTATTCAGTGCACTGTAGAAGGGATGGTCACTCTCAAATTGGCCTTCTCAGCCACACTAGGTGCTGCTCCAAGTCCTCTGTTCAGAGCACGTTCCCATAGTCTCTCAAGACTGAAGGGTGCCTAATTATAATTGAACATTTCTCAGGGTCTCGATTGCTTTGCTATGAAAGTTTGCAGCATGCCAAAGAACTGTGGCCCCCACTGTGCATAAAGGGCACAGTGTATCTCTCCCCCCCCTCCCGGCCCCAGATTGTGTTCCAACTTGCAAGAGCAAGACTATGAAAAGAGCTTAGGATGACTGTAGCAGCTCAAGGGCAAAAAAGTGCCAACCAAATGGTCCAAGGATGTCTGAATTTGTGACTGAATACAATTCTTTGTTTATTATTTAATATTTTTTTTACACACACACACACCTGTCTCCGAAAAAAGTACCCAAGGCAGCTTACATCCGAAAAACACAATATTGAAAAGCAAAAGCAAAGTGTGCTGCTTAGATGACTGTAGCAGCTCAAGGGCAAAAAAGTGCCAACCAAATGGTCCAAGGATGTCTGAATTTGTGACTGAATACAATTCTTTGTTTATTATTTAATATTTTTTTTACACACACACACACCTGTCTCCGAAAAAAGTACCCAAGGCAGCTTACATCCGAAAAACACAATATTGAAAAGCAAAAGCAAAGTGTGCTGCTTATATACTGTATCGTATCAAAATGACCAACTTCAGAAAGATAGAAGGCTGAGTGAACTTCCGGATTGAGCCCAGGTTGTGAGCAGAGTTTTGGCTGCAGTTCTGGAATTTAATCACTGTGCCATGAAGGTCCTCAAAAGGAGCTAAAATTTAAAGCTAAAAACAATGAGCTATTAAAATATTAAACA